ATAAGGTCTGCGCAAGACCTCATGCAAATATCGAGGCCCTGAAGAAGTCGTTGTCTGAGGAATGGGACAAATTATCCGTCGAATACCTGCGTGCCACCATTGATGCCTTCCCTCGACGACTTCGTGCCGTGGTCGCTGCCAAAGGAGGTAGAATCGAATAATTTTTGTTGAATTATGATTTCAAGCGTTGAAATAAACTATCTGTTAAATTTCGTCTTAATCTCGCATCTACTTCTGGAGATAACGTCATCTACACTTGCACACGTAATTTTGGCGGACCCTGTACTATCGAAGGAGAGGCGCGTATTGTCCGGAGTCCCGCAGGGCTCTGTTCTTGGGCCTACCCTCTTCTTGTTATATATTAATTGTATTGGTGACAAATTTCAAAGTGACTATCTACTGTTTGCAGATGACTTGAAAATTTATGATACGAATGATAGATTGATTGATGCAGATTTAATTGAATTGGAGAATTGGTGCTCGAAGTGGAAAATGAAAGCGGCTCCTAAAAAGTGCGAATACATCAAATTCAATGCAACAAGAAAATATGCCAACTCCAATGTTATGAATCCCAAATTAAATCAAGCTTTGATTCCCCCTGTGGAAAATGTCCGTGATCTTGGGATCTACTTTTCCAGTAACCTGAGCTTCCATTATCATTATTCTTTGATTATTCGGAAATCACATCAGAGGATCAACATGTTCTTTTCCATTCTAAAAAACGCATCGTGGAGGTTTTTATAAAATGCTATACAATTTACATACGCCCTTTACTTGAATATTGAACGATAGTCACTTCTCCAATCCTAAAGGATCATATTATAAAATTGGAATCGGTGCAAAAGTCATTTGTTTTCAGAATTTGTGTTAGTGGTTTTCTCCCCTTCGTTGAAATAAATAAATAAATAAATAAATAAATAAATGCAAGCTTCAAAATGATTGTAAATACCGTAAAACCTGTATTAGCAGAGCCGGCCCTTATTTTTTTTTCCAAGGCACCTCGGAGGGCCTTTCTATTAGAGGGGCCCTTCTAATACAGGTTTTACGGTATGTAACATTTTGAGAAGATTTGAAGTTTTCCAGAATTATCTAAAATTCTGAATTTCAAAATTTTGGATAATTTCAAAAAATGAAATTTTTGAATCCTTTTTATCTAGGTCATGGCCTAATTTTTTGAGTTTCTGGGCCAAATTGAGATTTCTAGACCACGACCTAACTTTTTTGGGATTTTTAGACCATGGCCTAATTTTTTGGAATTTCTAGGCCATGGTCTAACTTTTATGGATTTCTAGGCCATGGCCTAACTTTGATGGGGTTATTCAGCTAGGTAAAAAACCTGGTTTTTTACCGGCAAAAAAGGTGAACAACAGGTTATGTCCTAATTTTTATGGTTTCCTAGGCCATGGCCTAATTTTTTTGGGATTTCTAGGCCATGATTTAACTTTTTTGGAGTTTCTAGGCCTTGCCTGATTTTTTGGAGTTTCTAGGCCATGGCCATCTTTTTTGAGTTTCTGGGCCAAATTCGGATTTCTAGCCATGACTTAATTTTCTTGGATTCCTAAAAAATCCCTCACCTTAACATTCAAAATCGCGCCAAACTGTGAAAACAGCTGCCATAGCAGTGTGTCATCCGTATCCGCCGCTAGATTATACACAAAAAGACAGTATCCCGCAGTATCTGATGGCGGTAGCGTGGCAGCTACACTAGCCGACAGTGCCGATAGCTGAGCATGAGCAGCGATTCCAGCTCCGTTGGCTGCTGGAGGACTTGCAGTCTGTGCGACTTGTTGTTGGGCCGCCGCTTGCTGTTGTTGCTGATGGGCTAGAAGGGAAGCTGTGAAGTCTGGAACCGCGGTCGCTGTGAATGGCGTTAATCCAGCTAGGGCATTCAGTTGAGACATTTGAAGAAGAGCTGATGTTGTAAGGTAGTCGGCTGGGAGGGTGGCTGTTGGTTGAGAGACTGCGGTGATTGCACCCATTGGAGAGTATCTGGAAATGTTCAAAATTATTTCAACTTAGTTAAACCGGTGCCAACCGGACCACTTGGAGTCATGCTTTGAGCCTAATCTATGAGGATTACTGTATTTCCTCGATCCTACCCAAATGATCATTTTGAGTTCAATTATCTCGGTTCTTTTCAAAGATATCAAAAATTGGTCAACTGATAAAATGTTTGTGATAATATGATAAAAATTTTGGCAGTTGGCCACTCCCTGATATCTTTCACAAGAAATAAGATATAGGATTTCGAAGTTAGGCTCTTATTATACAAGTTCTACGCCCCGCTCATTTTTCATCTCTTACTAACCTATATTTCGAAGTAATCGGCGTATGATGCATTGGTCCGATTCCTCCAGCGGCTGCCCTTAACGTCGGTGCTCCCAAAATCGTGCTCAATGGAACGAGTGTCGTTGCTGCCTGTTGTAATCCCTCCAGCTCGCCTAATAATCCTTTCGGATTGTTGCTAGCCGGATTATTCGCGAATTTTACAGTAATCTGTTCGGAACATCCTGTTGGTATACTTCCGTTTAACGTTTTGATCGCCGTATCTGCCTCGTCTTTTTTGTCGAATCGCACGAATCCCACTCCTTTTGAGAGACCTGAAAAATCGTTGTTTTTGGAATTTAGAGTCAAAGTTGGGGCCGCGGGCCGAGGATTTGGCCGAAAATCCTTTGCAAGAACGACGCTCTGTTTGCCCTCAATTATCTCAATTGAGGTAGAAGATACCAAAAATCTGTCAACTGATAAAATGTTTATTATAATATCATAAATGTTTTATTAGTTGACAGTGTTTTGATATCTTGAATAGGAACCGAAATGATCGAGCTTAAACTTGACTGGGTTGAGGCAATAAATTTGGCATTCATATGTTTTTTGAACTCCAAATGAATTTCTGAATTTCTGGATTTATGAATTTCTGAATTTCATGAATTTCTGAATTTCATGAATTTCTGAATTTCTGAATTTCTGGATTTCTGAATTTCCGAATTTCAAAATTTCCGAATTTCAAAATTTCTGAATTTCTGAATTTCTGAATTTCTGAATTTCTGAATTTCTGAATTTCTGAATTTCTGAATTTCTGAATTTCTGAATTTCTGAATTTCTGAATTTCTGAATTTCTGAATTTCTGAATTTCTGAATTTCTGAATTTCTGAATTTCTGAATTTCTGAATTTCTGAATTTCTGAATTTCTGAATTTCTGAATTTCTGAATTTCTGAATTTCATGAATTTCTGAATTTCTGAATTTCTGGATTTCTGAATTTCATGAATTTCTGAATTTCTGAATCTCCGAATTTCTAAATTTCTGAATTTCTGAATTTCTGAATTTCTGAATTTCATGAATTTCTGAATTTCTGAATTTCTGAATTTCTGAATTTCTGAATTTCTGAATTTCTGAATTTCTGAATTTCTGAATTTCTGAATTCCTGAATTTCTGGATTTCTGAATTTCATGAATTTCTGAATTTCTGAATCTCCGAATTTCTGAATTTCTAAATTCCTAAATTTTTCAACTTCTGAATTTCTGAATTTCTGAATTTCTGAATTTCTAAATTTCTGAATTTCTGAATTTCTGAATTTCTGAATTTCTGAATTTCTGAATTTCTGAATTTCTGAATTTCTGAATTTCTGAATTTCTGGATTTCTGAATCTCTAAATTTCTGAATTTCTGGATTACTGAATTTCTGAATTTCTGAATTTCTGAATTTCTGAATTTCAAAATTTCAGACTTTTTTGACAAAAAATCCCTAAACTCACCAGTAACATTATCCGATAAAATCCTCGATGTTATAATTTGTCCAAACGGTCGAAAAATGCCCTCCAACTCGTGTAACGTCATCGATTTCGGAATTCCGGACACATACAAATTCGATCCTTTGATCTGATCATTTGACGGTCGTGCATAGGAGACCTGGAAAATAACTTTGAATTTGTGATATATTTTTGAACTTTTTCATAATTTTTGAATCCTACATTTTTCTTTCTTAAATTAGTAAAAAAAATGATAAAAATGAAAAGACATGGACATTAATTGAGAAGGACACACATTTAAAAATAATGAGAAGCTGCTTTCTGAATCAGTCAAAAGAAAAATTATAAGTTGCGAAAAAATAAAAATATGCACAACAGGGGAAGTTGAAAATATGCTAAAAACTAGAAAACTATCACCCAAAATTAAATATTTTTGAAAGTCAAAAAAAATCAAATTGAAAAAAAATTAGAAGAACTGTGAAAGTAGGAGGAGAAACTTAGAATTTTCAAAAATTTTCAATTTTTAGACACCTTGATCGTTTTATTCTGCAACCGAAGACCGTTGAACGAGCTGACCGCACGCAGGGCATCCTCTTCTCGTACGTAATTAACAAAACCGTAACCAAGGGACTGGCCTGAAATGAAAAAAAAAACACCAAAATGCCAAGAAGTTGAGAAATGTGAGAAAATGAGGAGAACAAAGGAAATACCACTCTTGTACTTTTGAGCTCAATTATCTTGATTTCTATAACAGATATCAAAAATTTGTAAACTGATAAAATATAGCTGATATTGTGATAAACATTTTATTAGTTAAAAAAATTTTCGTAATTTTTATAGAAACTGAGATAATTGAGCTCAAAGTTAAAGTATAGGGTGGCGAAGGATATTTTGACTAGGCGCGTTTGATAGCGCTCAAAACGGAAATTTTGCTAGAATTGTTTTTTGAAATTTTCGCTATTACGTTTTAATTTTCATAATCAACTGTTAGATTTTCAAAGAATGCATAGACAGCAAAAAAGAGAATATGCTTAGAAAAAGCCTAAACTCAAAAAAATTTCGTAAAACCTAAATAGAATGACCGCATACATTTGAGCCAATTTTTCTCGTTTACTGTAATAGATATCAAAAATCTGTAAACTGACAAAATATTTAAATAAAATTCACAATATTTTATCAGTTGACAAATTTTTGATATCTCTTACAGAAGTCAAAATAATTAAGCTCAAAGTTGACCAAACTTTGATCTTTGAAATTCAAAATTCAAAATTCCAGAATCAAATTTTAGGTAGAACTCAAAAACGAGCATTTAGAATTTTAAAATTCTGCGTTTTCTGGAAAAAATATTTGCTGAAAAAACCCCTAATCTAGTCAAGGTTGAGTCAAAATACATTATTACCGTAAAACCCGTAATAGAAGGGCTATTACTTTGAGCTCAATCATCTCCATTTCCTTGAAAGATATCAAAAACTTATTAACTGATAAAATGTTTATCATAAAATAAGTAATATTTTATCAGTTGATAAATTCTTGATATCTCTTACAGGAATTGAGATGATTTAGCTCAAGTGGGGTACTGCATCGGTTGGTAGCAGACGGCGCCGACTGTACTGGAAGCTGGTTAATTATCTCGGCTCCCATGAGAGATTCAAAAAATTATCAACTGATAAAATGTGTATCATAATATTAGTAATAAGTTATTAGTTGACAGATTTTTGATATCTTTTACATGAATTGAAATGATTGAGCTCAAATATAACACCCTGGTGGTCATAGAATATGAAGACCATTTTCCTTGGTACCTCAACGTCGACTTTAAGCTCAATTATCTCAGTTCTTATGAAAGATATCAAAAATTTATTAACTGATAAAATGTTTATCATAACATGAGTAATATTTTATCAGTTGACAAATTTTTAATATCTCTTATAGGAACCGAGATAATTGAGCTCAAAGATGGTGGTCTGGGTGGGTTTCTATTGATAACCAAGCTTAAATCTGAGATTATCTAATATCTAAAAAGTGAAAAATCTTGTGTACATGTGTAAAATGCGTGTGTGTGTGTGTGTTAGGAACTTGAGAAAGGTATAAAAAACTTTTGGAACCGAAAATCTTGAAAAAAAAACGTCACGGAAAGAAAATGTTTGCAAATTGAACCAAAATTTGGGGAATGGAAAAAAAGAGAGAGAGTAGCAGAAGGTAGCAGATAATATCACACACACATTTACAGATTTACACAAAAAAAAATCATAAAAATCGATCGATCTAAAGCGCCTTTGTGTCATGCTACATGTAGAGAGAGAGAGAGAGAGATTCTGGCGACAACGGTTAGAGCAACTAAAACTGTTTGTAAAATGGTTGGTAAAAAAATCGGGCGGGAAGATTTGAAATTTGAATTTTGTTCAAAAGTTGAATCCATATAAAACTAACCTGTTACTTTGTCCCGAACCAGTTTACAGGATTCAATTTCTCCTATACTTGTAAAAAGGGACCGGACTTCTTCTTGTGTCATTCCTTGTGGTAGATAATTGATGATTAAATTGGTTTTCGACTCTCCAATATCCACATTCGGAGCCGTACAGTATCGTTGGGTGCCGGAGTAGGAGTTCTGGAAGCATATTAGAATTTAGGATAGTTACAAAAGTTGGAATTCTAAAATAAATTCTTCTTTGAGCTCAATTATCTCGGTGCCTGAAAGAGATATCAAAATATTATCAACTGGTAAAATGTTTCTGATGTCATGAAAAACATTTTATCAGTTGACACTTTTTTCACATCTCTTAGAGGAGTTGAGAAAATTGGGCTCAAACTTGTGGGAGCGAGCCCTTCTATTACAGGTTTAAGAGTATTCTAAAACCTTGATAATGTTCAATTTTATTATTACCGTAATTCCATGCTTTTCGAGTTTCTATCTAAATCAAAATTAAGAACTTCTGCATTTTGAGAGTTTGGGGGGAAATTTTAAAATTCCAAAAAAAATCTAAAAATTCCAAATTTTAGATGATTCTCCTCTAAATTTCCCACATTTCTGTCTAATTTTCAACTTTCCAGCTCATCTAGAAGCCGAGATATAGACATTTGAAGTTTAGGGAGGCTAGAGACGCAGTGTGTCTCGTCGTCTGGCGTCTCTAGCCTCCTGAAACTTCAAATCGCTGTATATGGGCTCCTAGACAAGCTAGAAAAATGATTTTTTGATCGAATTGTGTAAATTTGTCTGTTTTCAAGGCCGAATACATGTTTCTGAAACCAGCTAAAACTCCAGACAGATTGTTTCAAATTTTCAGCCTCAGTTTTGGTCCATTGACTTTTTCCAGAAATCCCAAAATCCCTAGTCTCCCTGTCCAGTACATGACCTCCCAAAAACCATTTCAATTTCGATGAAAAACATTTTTCTCGCGCATGGTAACCGGAGATGCTCCATCATCATCATACGGGGAGCTCTCTCTCTCTCGATTTTCCATTTATTTGACCATGTCTCAAATTTCTTGAAGAAAAAGAAAATGGTGGTGGTAGGGAGCACATATAACATACTGAGCATGTTCTTCCCACCTCTTTCCTCTCTATTTTCTTTTTGGGAATCGAGAAAGGAACAATACCCTTGGGAAGGAAATGGAGGAGAAGAAGAAAAGGAAGAGGACTGAATATATATGGAAATGTGGGGATGTTGAACTGGTGGAATATATGAAAAATTGGGTTCTTTAGGTTTTTGGGGTCAAACATTTAGTGCTAGAATTGGGAAAAAAAGAAAAGCTATTAGAATATTGAAAAAATCAAAATTCACTGTAAACACTAATGGAAGAGCCCCCGAACTTTGAGCTCAATTATCTCGGTTCCTGTGAAAGATATCAAAAATTTGTTAACTGCTGAAATATTGGTGATGATGTGGCAAATATTTTATTAGTTGACGTGATTTTGATATCTTTTACAAGATCCGAAATAAATCGAACTTCTAAAAACAAATAGGAGCAATAATTTTATATTTTTTAGAAATTCAGAAATTACAATTTATTTTTTGTTAGACAAGTTAGATTCAAAATTTATGGCCCTAAACGTTAGAAAGTTCAACTTTTCAAAATTTTGAGATTTCATGAGAAAAAACGCGGTCTACTTTGAGCTTATTTATCTCATTTCCTTAAAAAGATATCAAAAAGATTGTCAATCAATAAATTACTTATCATAATGTCAGCAAAATTTTATCAGTTGACAAAACTTTGATATCTCTTACAGGGACCGAGATAAATTGGGTCAATGTAGACGCCATGGGAATTTCACTTCACGACTATACCCTTAGGATTTGAGGTCAATTATCTAGATTTCTAGGCAAGATATCAAAAAGTCGTCAACTAATAAAATATTTTGGATATTATGATAAGCATTCTATCAGTTGATGGTTTTTTGATAACTCTTATAGTTGCCGAGATAAATTGGACCAAAGTTTACAAAAATAGCAATTTTTCCAATTTTCTAGCTCTAATATTTCATTTTCAATTTTTGGTCCACATTTCTAGAATCCAAAAATGTTTGACCCCATAAGATTCACTAAAACCTTTTTATTTTCCCCAACCACCAATCCATCAAACTTTGAGCTCTCTCTCCAGCTCTCCAAAAACTTCAAAAATCTCCCCAAAAATGGAAGAGATGCGCTGCATTTGACGGGTCTTCTGAATTCCCAAATGCCAATTTTTCAAAAATCTTTCTATTCGAAACCTCTCTCTCACACAAAACTACTTGTTTCCTTCTTCTTTTTCTTAGTTTTCTTTCAAAAATCTTCCATTCATTATGCCTAGAGAGGGGACGGAAGGATATAAGGAGCTGTGTGGAGAGAGAGAGAGAGAGAGAGAGAGAGAGAGGCCACACCGGAAATGGAAAAGAATAAGAAGGGACCAGTGGAATATATACTGAAAATATTTGTTTTTGAATCCAAAGATGTATACGTTCAGAAAAGAGAGAAAAATGAGATTTTTGAAATTTTTTAGTTGAGAAAATGGGATTTTTTGTAGTCCTGTAGAAGGGTTAATGATCCGAAACAGAGACAATATCGCTGGAATTTTAGCTAGTTTCAAAAAATAAGGTGGGTTATTTCTTAGAAACATTCTTCGGGTCTACAAAACAGACTAATTTGCTCCAATTTTATCAAAAAACCACTTTTCTAGCTCATCTAAGAGCCGAGATACAGGCATTTGAAACTTCGGAAGGCTAGAGACGCAAGACGACGAGACACGCTGCGTCTCTAGCCTCCCAATTTCAAACGACTGTATCTCGGCTCCTAGATGAGCTAGAAAGGTGAAAATCGGACAAAAATTATGCAAATTCTTAGTGCTATTCGATTTTTGTAAAAATTTGTATTGATTTGTTTTTCAAAAATCTGTGTTTTTCAAATTTTCATCAATTTTGTGATGACTCATTTTTCATGAAAAAAAAATAGGAAAAACACTAAATTTCAGTCTAAACCCTACTTCTCTAGCTCATCTAGGAGCCGAGATACAGCCGTTTGAAGTTTCGAGAGGCTAGAGACGCCAGACGACGAGATACACTGCGTCTCTAGCCTCCAACACTTCAAATGGCTTTATCTCGGCTCCTAGATAGGCTACAAAATTGAAAATTGAACAGAAATGTGTGAAATTTAGAGAAGAATGATCCAAGATTTGGATTTTTGAATTTTTTGGAATTTAAAATTTTCGCATTAATTTTCTTATTTTTGGCACTTTAGCTTTTTTCTAGCGTTTTCAGACTATTTTAGCACTATGTCTAAAGCAGTTTTAGATTATTTCAAAACTTTAAAAAACTAACCTGTGTAGTTTGTACGGGTCCCGTTGGCATATTCGGCGTTTTGGGTGTCAGCAACGCTTCCATCGTCATCGTCTGAATGTTCTGAAGACGACGTCTTCTTGGTCTTCTGAAGTTGACACACCACTTCTCTTTCCCCTTGGCCTGTCAGGAAAGAACAAAAGAAGAGCTCTCTGTCTGTCTCTCTTTTGAAATTTTGAACAAGTAGAATACGAATAGAGAGCTCCGTCCGTCTGTTTTGTTTGAAGAAGAGACTAGTGGTTTGGGCGGAGATATATGCAAAAAGTGGGCGTGGCCTAATTTATCCTGATGTGTGCTCCGTTGGAATAATATGGGAGCGGATGGACAGGATGAGAGAGATGAGGTATTCTGTAAAAATGAAGGAAAATTAGTTTTTTGAGATTTTGAAGAAAAGAGAAGGAGGTAAAAAAAAGCAAGAAAAATAATTATGAAAGAGAAGAAAAGAAAATTTGAGATTCCAATTTTTTCAGATATTGGGATGTTTGGGATTCTTTGAATTATTTGGGATTTTCAGACTTTTTTGGAATATTTCAGGATACTCAAAAGTTTCTAAAGATTCTTATTTATTTATTTTTTTTTTGAAATTCCTTGAGATCTTTTTAGAATTTTTAGAACTATCAGGATTTTTAGAATATTAAGCATTTTTAGAATTTTTAGGATTTCAAATAAATATTTGAGCTTTTTGGATCCTGGGATCTCTCGGATTTTTAGGAATTTCTGAATTTCTGAATTTGTGAGAAAATGGTAAGGAGTTCTGATGAAAATGTATTTTTCAACGCTCGGGAATGTTCTTGGATAGTGGATATGATTAGGACTCGGTACCAAAATGCATTTCCTCCAAAAATCTCATCTTCCTAGCCCCTCTAACATATTCCCAAAGTCAATTAAAGTTGTTATTCGCCGATTTACAACTATATAGTTATTATTACATGAACAAGGGGAATTTTTATTGTTTTTATTATTGTGTGCTATTATTATTATTACCAGGGTGTCTAGTAGCCTAACTCCCAACTGAGCTTATTATTACTATTATATGATTATAGAATAGGTAAAGCTGGTGAGGGTATAATAGTTTTCGATCTAGCGAAATCTAAAAAATTAGAATCAAATCTAGTTGAGTTTAAAGTTGAGAGCTGGGGGGTTATTGTATTACAGGTTTCACGGTAATCGGAAAGTTATAAAGGGCCGAACTCGGTTAATTGCTTATTTTAGGATGTTCAGTTATTTTTTGAATTTGAAAAAAAACTTGTACAGTTTTTTTCCATCTAAATGATTTCCCAGAAGATTGTAACATTTAAAGGTGGGGGGGACATGAAAAAAATAATGTTCTCGAAATTCCGTTCAAAGATGCCTCTCGAGGAGTTGAACTTGTGAAGGCGATGATTGAGGGTGCGGCGCCGCTACCGACTGAGCCATGCGGGTAAAGAGAAAGCGCACGCCCGATTGCATACATAAAGACGAGGACGACAGCTGTACGCAGAGTGACATTAAGCGTTGTACACCGTCACGGTAGAATGCATACTCTAGCTACAAAAAAACTACGAAAAATCTCCTGTCCCCCCACCTTTAAAAACTAATATTCTGATATAAAATTAAAGATCCGAGTCATGTTTACACTCAATTTCAAGTTAGAAACAACCTAAATTCACATGTGGTATTGGCAAATACTGTGAAACCTGAAATAAGAGAACTGAATGTTCTGAAGACGACGTCTTCTTTTTTTCAATTTTCAGACTAACTGTTAACTTTGAGCCAATTCATAAAAGTTCTTGTAAAAGATAACAAAAAGTAGTCAACTGATAAAATGTTAATCAAAATATCACAAACATTTTACCAGTTGACACATTCTCAAAAATAAGAGGTCTCCGGGGCCTTCTATTACAGGTTTTACGATAGATCAGGTCAGTAGATCAAAAGTGTTCCAGAAGAAATGTCCTTATTAGGAGAGCCAAATTTTAGAAAACAAAAAAAAAAGTAAATGCAATCGGTAAGGAGGAAAATAGTGTGGAAATAAGAATAAGGCAGGTGAATATGACAAGTTTGTGTATGCACATGATATATCAAAAAATTAAGAAAATTACGAAAACCACAAACTTCTAGAAACATGCTGAATATCAGGGATCCATAGAAACTACAGTGTTTGTTAAGCGGAATACATTAGCAAGATTTCCAGAAAACTGGAGTTGGCTGAATAATTTTCGCATGAATCAATACAGCTTCAATTCATCGGAAACTTTTAACTTTCCAAAATTGAATCCTCTCCAACTATCCAGCGTGGCAGTTATGACAAAAGCGGATTCAGTGGATGGGGGATGAGACAGGTGTAAAAACAATGGTTGATCAAACACGAATGACCTGGTTAAGAGAAGAAGAAACGATGTGGTGGGGGAAAAAAGGGGCGGATAATATAAGAACTGTTCCACGTGTTTGGATAGGTGTTACTTTATGTTAAGTGAGAGTAAATGGAGACATATGGGCTTGGAACATGGCGAAAAGAAAGCCTTGAAATTGACAACCTCGGCGGTACGGGCTAGCAACATAGGTGGACTTCGGTGGGCCCAACAAGGGTTTTTCATATGAGAATGAAAAAAAATCCTTTCTACCCGAAAAAAAATCCTCAAGTCAGGAATCTATTCCTGTAATCCGAAAGCTATCTAAAAATTCGAATTACATCCTGAGCCGATCTTCCTAAATTTGAAAAAAATTGAAGCCAATTTCGAGAATCCAAAAAAAACCAACTTACTGTATAACCTACAACCTGTACTTCCGGAGGGCCCTTTTATTTCAGGAACATCACAAGCTTCTGAAATCTAAATAAGAACCCTGGTGATCTCAAAGTTTGATCATTGGCGAGAAAGTGCAAGACAGAAAAGGATCTACAGTACCGGTCAATAAGATATAAAAACACTTTTTTTCCAGTTGATTTTCGGTCATTTTCAGGAGTCTGGAGCTTGGGTAGTCAAGTTTCCGATCGTTTTGAAAACTTTGCAAGTTGTAAAACTGACCGAGATTGGAAACTTTGCATTCACAGATTTCGAATTCCTGGGTTTTCAGCTATTTGCCGATTTCTGAAAGTCATCTCTTTCTGGCTTGTTTTTGTGCTGAAAACGTCAAAAAAATTTCAAAGTGATTGGGACTTTGGCATCGGCGCTCCAGAGCACTGAAAACGCTCAAAGTCATCTGAAAAATACATTTCTGTATATATTATTGACCGATATTATATATTTGAAAAAAAATTTAATAGCTGACCGCGCTTTTTATATCTTTCTGGAGAAACGAGACTTTTTAGACTGAAAAATGTCGAAAAATTCAAAATAGACTTCATCTAAAATCTGGCTACCAGATTTATAAACCATGTTTCCAATGTCTCTAAACAACCAAAATAACCTCTCTCCCGCACTTTTTCCATTAGTAGGCCCGCCTATTCAGTGTTATATTCTATACACGACAAACACACAGTTGAATGAACAACCACACACACGGGCATCTTTTTCTCTCTCTCTCGAAAAACCTGAATAGGTACCGAGAGAGAGAGGACTCAATTATGTGTTAGTTAGGGTTTCTGAAGAGGTAGGGGGCTATTTGGTGACCCCCATATTGTTGTGAAAAGTGGGGATATAGAGAAGAGAGGAAGGCAAAGGACACATTTATAATTGCTCTTAGTTTTGGGAACGGCCCCGGGATACATACAGTTCCCTAATTGAGTCTACATGCATATACACCTCGCCATGAGTGATGGATATTAATAATGGGTAGGCGGGAGATTTCGAAGGTTGAGGAGAAGGATATAGAAGCTAATTAACCCGAAATTGAGAAATTGAAGTTTTGAAATAGAGAAGCTCCTTGAAGAGCTACGCGGTGACGAAGGTGCAGGAAAACAACCCTAAACGACGCGGGTTTAGGATCTCTGAAAAATGAATTCAAGAGCAAAACTATCCCAAATTACAATTTTTCAAAGGCCTAAAAATTTTCCTATGCTTCCAGCCAATTTTCAAAATTGTATAGTAATTTTGAAGCGAGTTATGAAAGTTTGAAGTTGAAGATGCCCCAATGTTAGGAAACAAGGCTTGCTGATTAGAAGTTAGAAACCTGACAATATGAAATTTACATCATTTTGAAGCTCTAAAAATTCGCTACAAAACAAGATAATTTTCAAATTTTTGTGTCAAGATTGAAGTTAGCTATGGCGAGTTTGAAATCAACTGCGTACTGTAATTGCCCTAAGTGAAGCCCACTCTATACGTGCTCTTTGAGCTTAATTATCTCGGTTCTTGTGAAAGATATCAAAAAGTAGTAAACAGCTAAAATATAGTTGATATTATGATGAACAATTTATCAGTTAACAACTTTTTTAATTTCTTTTTCAGAAAGTGAGATATATGGTCTCAGAGTGGACGGTTTGAGGGGAATTCTATTTGAGTGTTTATGGTGATTCGCCGTAAGTTTAAATGGAAAACTAGAGAATTTATAACAATAATACTTTTGAACTGAGTTGTAGAGGGAATCGAAAAGGAAGAAGTAGAAGTTTGATATTTCCGGAATCCTAGTAATCCTAAGAATCTGAGAAATCCATCTTCTGAAAAATTCTGATGAACCATTTTAAAAATACTGAAATATTAAATAAAGGAAAACTGTAAACCGAAAGAAATTCAAGACTTATAAAACAACTGAAGAATAAATATCGACATTTCGCAAAGTGTTTAAAAAATCCGCAACTAAAAATACCACAATGTGTGTACCTAGGTACTAATAGTCAATAATAAAAACTCTCTTCCTCGTCCTTCCGATAGAGAGAATTAATATGAGAATATATATATGAATCCGACGGATCGTTGTCATAAAAACTTTTGATCCACCTCCTCCCCACGGATTTCATATTATTAAATGGGCGAGAGAGTGAAGAGACGCAGACACGAAAAACCGAGGAATCGGTAGTTGTAGAGATAGATAATAATGATGATGATGATAGAAATGAAATGTGTTTGGGAGGAGAAACTAGATTTCGTTCGCCCATCACCACACACTCATGATTCGAAATAGGAAGAGAGAAA